TGTGGTTATTGGGCTTTACAGCTGGTGTTGGACATTGACTGATTTTCTCCCTTACCGACTTGCAGAGTATCCTCTGATAGATACTATGACTCAATAGGCCTTAGCCTATATGACAGAATGCATGAAACCTGATGGGGGAGGCTATGGGAGTGTGGAGAAAGGGGAAGGGGGGATCTAAAGATTTAAGATGTATTCTATGTAATGTACAAAAATTGAGTGATAATATATATTGTAAAATAATTGATTTGTTTAAGACTAGTACATTTTAAACACTTAAATGTATTCGTTACACTTCAAAAATGTCATTTATTATTCACTTTAGTGATATATATATTGACACAGGGTTTCACACTAGCTGGACTGGAACTCTCTACACACACAGATTTGCTTGCCTCTGACCTAGCATTAAAGGCCTAGGACACTAGCGCTAGTGTTTTTTGAGGGGTAAGAAAGGTAAACACATAGGTTTAATTTATTTTCTCTTTTTAATTTTCAAAAAATTATATTTTAAAATGTATTTATTTATTTATTATGTCTTTTTGAGACAGTGTTTCCCTATATCCCCATCTGGCCTGAACTGGAGACGTAGACCAGGCTGGCCTTGAACTCACAGAGATCCGCCTGCTTTTCAGTGTATGAGTGTGTCGCCTGCATGTATGTAAGTGCACCCATGTCGTGGAGGTCAGTAGAGGGCGTCAGATCCCCTGGACTGGAGTTGCGAACGTGGTTGTTAGCCACCATGTGGGTGCTCGGATTCAAATCTGGGTCGTCTACTGCAAGAGCAGTCAGTGCTCTTAACCGCTGAACCATCTCTCCAACCCTTAGATTTATTATCTTGAATAATGTTTTGAAACAACTTGGTTTTAATATATGGAAACCAGCCCCTGAGTGTGGTGAAATCAAAGAGTGGCAGGCAGATTTACCATTGCAGAGTACGTAAAACATTAAGTTTAAATTATTAGCATAAATGCTTTTATATTTTATTTATTATTTTATTTTATGTGTATTCACGTATTGCCTGAAGGTAGGTAAGCACACCTGTGTCATGTGATGCCTGCAGAGGTCAGATGAGGGTGCCAGATCCTCTGGGACTGGAGTTACGGACAGTTGTTAGCTGCCATGTGGGTGCTGGGATTTGAACCTGGGTCTTCTGCAAGAACAACCAGTGTTCCTAACCACTGAGCAATCACTCCAGCCCCAGCATAAATTTTTTAAAGATCTATTTTTAATGATTTATGTGCATGTGTGTGTGCGTGCATGCGTGCCTCTGTGTGTGTGTGTGTGTGTTTTTGTGTCTGTGCACCCAAGTGCAGTTTCCCATGGAGGCCAGAAGAGGGCACCAGGTCTCCTGGAGCTGGACTTATAGGTGGTTATGAGTCACCTAACATGAGTGGTAGGATCTGAACTCTGGTCCTCTGCAAGAGCAGCAAGTGCTCTTAATACCAAGCCAAATCCCAAGCTGCTATTAGCATGAATTTCAGCATTCATCTTTATATTGTGTGATATTGATGTTTTTTATTTATTTTAATTAGACTCATATATTTGGGGGAGGGTGCATGTGACACAGCACTCATGTGGAGGTCAGAGGACAACTTTAGGCAGTCAGTTCTCTCCTTCCATCATGCACGTCATGAGTATTGAACCCAGGTTATCAGGCTTGGCGGCAGGCATCTTTACTGAATCACCTCACCAGGCTACTGGGTGATGTTGGTTCTAAGTGCATAGACAGAAGCATCCGTTGTGGTTGGAAGTAGACTGCACACTAGTCGCCTCATGACTCACGCATGCCTCTGTTTCTGCAGGATGAAAGGTAGACCATTTCCTTCCTTCCGTGACATCATTGTGAACATGCTGCACACACGGAGAGGATGTAATGGCGTGTCACAGATGGAACTATGTCCCCCCCACGCATATGGAGAAGCTCTGATGCCCAGGACCTCAGAATACCACTGCACCAGCGCTCCTCAGTCCTCACAGGGGAGGGGTTTCCAGGACCCCCTTGGGTATCAAAGTTTGTGATGCTGAAGTCCCCTAAATAAATGGTCTCATGTTTAGACAGAACTCACGCATATTGGACCATAGACTTTTCCCTGTTTCTTTCATGTGTGTTCATATGTAAGTGTATGTGCACATGTGGGTACATGTGCATGAAGAGGCCAGAGGACAACCCTGAGTGTTGTTCCTCAGGAGGTGTTGTTTCTCAGGACACTGTTCACCTTGTTTTCTGAGACAGGGTCTCTGACTGTCCTGGAGGTCTTCAATTCAGCTAGGTTGACTGGCCAGTGATGCCTAGAGATCCTCCCGTCTCCAGTCCCAGTGATGGGATTACAAACACATTCCACCATGCCAGGCAAGTTTTACATGAATTCTGGGGACTGAACTCAGTACCTCATGCTTATAAGGCAAGCATTTTACCTACCAAGCTCCCAGCACCCAAAGTATTTATTTTTTATTTTGTATAGGTTGGTGTTGTTTCTTTTGAGACAGGGTCTCACACTGTAGCCCAGGCTAGCCTTGAAGTTGGGGCAATCTTCTTGCCTTTACCTCCCAAGTTGCTGAGATTACAGGCATGAGCCATCACAGCCGACTCTGTCCTGTATACTTTAAAAACATAAATAAATAAAAGCGTTTTTATTGTAATGAATTCACAAAAGTATCATGTGACTAGATGGGATTTTTTGTATCATCTCTAAAGGAAAGTGCAGTCCTAACACACAGTCTGCAGCTCTCCCTTATGCTGTTTTTCTTATAAATATTTAATTAATTTTGTTTTGTTTTGTTTTTTGGTCTTTTTGAGACAGGGTCTCCCTGTAGCCCCAGCTGTCCTGGAACTCACTATGTAGGCCAGACTGGCCTTGAACTCACAGAGATCCGCCTGCCTCTGCCTCCCAAGTGCCGGGACTACAGGTGTGCACCACCATGCCCGGCTTTATTATTTTTATTTTATGTGTTATGAGTGTATTGCCTGCATGTATGTGAGTGCACCCGTGTCATACAGTGCTGCGGAGGTCAGAAGAGGGTGTCGGATTCCTCTGGAACTGGAGTTTTGGACAGTTCATAGCTGCCATGTGGGTTCTGGGAATCGAACCCGGGTCCTCTGAAAGAGCAATCAATGCTCTTAACCACTGAGCCAGTCCCTCCCTGTTTCTTTTTAAGATTCTCATTCTCTCTCCCTCTCTGTGTCTCTCTGTGTCTCTCTCTGTCTCTCTCTGATTGGGTTAGGGTGAGAGTTTGCGCTAGGGTTAGTGTGAGGGTTAGTGTGTGTGTGTGTGTGTGTGTGTGAATGTATGCTATGTGTGTGCTGCTGCCACCAGAGGGCCCTAGAGCTGGAGTTACAGGGGGTTGTGAGCCACCAGACTTGTGTGCTGGGAAAAGAACTCTAGGTCTCTGGAAAAGCAGCAGGTCTTAACTGCTGAACCATCTCTTCAGGCCCTGTGGCATTTTTTTGTACTTTGAAATATTCCAGGAACTTAAAAACTAGAAAGCATCAACTTTAATCAAGATCTTGCCCATTAGCCTTGGTGTTTTGTATCTCAGAGCCTGAACCTCTAAGGCAGCCATTAAAGGAAATGACCCTTTTCAACCAGGTTAACCATAAAAATTGAGGCAGTTTATTTTGGTAGTCATAACCCCCCTAACAAGGTATCCTTCCCAGGCCTTGAAACCAATGGCTTGTTGTCATTGATGCAGTTTGTAGGGCCAAAAAAATCAAAATAAGCCAGGTTCTCGTACATATAGAATAAAAATTTAAAACAAATATGTTTTAAAAAGGGGCTGGAAAGATGGTACAGTGGTTAAGAACCCTGACTATTCTTGCAGGTTCAGTTCCCAGCACCCACGTGGCATCTAACTCCAGGTCCAGGGGATCCAACGCCCTCTTCTGACCTCTACAGGCATTGCATCACATGGGTGCACTTACATACATGCAAGAAATACACTCATACATATAAAATAAATTTTAAAAATAATAAAATAAGCCAGGTTAAGGAACTGCGGCGCCTCAGCTGGCTGCCGGAAGCAAGAAGCAGGTTCATCTTGTTTGGCCCCAGCCCGGACACTTTCTCCTCGGAACGTTTTTTCCTGTGCTTTCGGGTGCCCGGATACAATTGGGAATGCACAACGGCGGAGCTGGTTGCCGAGGCGACGCCAGGGAAGATGGCTGCTGCGTCTTCTTCGGATTCCGACAGCGGACGAGCTGAGAGGTGAAGTCCCGCGTCCTCATGGCCTCCTTGCCCTCCACCGTGTAGATGGTTCCCGGCCCGGGCTCCTGCGGTTCTCCGGCAGGGCAGGAAGTCTCTGAAGGGTCGATTAGAGAGGAGATGGGGAAGCCGATGCTAGCAGTCCAGTGTGCACCCGATTGGTCGCTCCTTGCGCCGGCTGAGGATGAGGATGCAGACGCTTCCCATTTCCCAGCTCCCTGCTCTCAATCTCAGGCACCACCTCCCTCAAAGTTCTCGTGGGACTCACTCCCACCAATTCCCTTCTTTCTCTTTCTCGTGGGACTCACTCCCCAGCTAGACTCCCTCCCTTCCATCCCTGCAGTGAAGCCAGTTCGAAATGGCTGGACGCGCACTACGATCCCATGGCCAACATCCACACCTTCTCCTCCTGCCTGGGTGAGTCTCTCCAACCAGGATCCTAGGTAACCGTTCCATGGTGAAGCCTTTGGGATTCTGAGACTAATGGCTGACCCTCTTATGTTTTCCAGCACTGGCAGATTTGCACGGGGACGGAGAGTACAAGGTAAACTATCACCCCAGCAGAGTTGGATGGGGAGAGTAACCCAAAGTAAGACTCAACATGCCCTGAAACTCACGAGTACTGAAAAAGCACATGTATCTGTGATTTTATTTTTATGTGGAAATTGAACATTAATTTCATAACATGGACTGCAAAAACTAAAATACTGCGGATTTAAATTTTTATTAGTTTTATTTTTCTGTTATGTGTATGAGTGTATTGCCTGCATGTATGTAAGTGCACCTGTGCCATGCAATGCCTCGGAGGTGTTGGAGCCCCTGGAACTGGAGTTACAGATAGTTGTTAGCCACCGTGTGGGTGCTGGGAACCAAACCCAAGTCATTTGCCAGAGTAGCCAGTGCTCTTAACTGCTAAACCATCTCTCCAGCCCATGTGGAGTTTATGCCAAAAAAGATTCTTAATTCAGTCTTCATTTTCCCCAAAAATTAATTTGGAAATTTTTCTTTTCTTTATTAAATTTTGAAGAAGAGTGTGACTCAAACACTATGTTTCTGTTCACAAGCCTTGCTGATAATGGCTTTATGGGGTTTTATTATACTTTTCTCTCTACTTTGGTTTATAATTGGAAATGTTCCTTAGTAAATACTTGATTTTAATACAAAGATAAAATGGGAATAAATAGATTTTAGCCCCATGATAGAGAATTTCAAGGTCCTGGATTCAGTCCCTACCACCACAGGGGGAGAAAAAAACCCTAAACAAATAATGAAAGGATAAAGTCATCTGCCACCTCATGAGCACTCACCAGATTCTATAACTCATGATTTCATTTGATTGATATGTCATGAGTTAGGCATTCCCATTTTACAGGAGAGAAACCCGAGTTCAGAATGGCTAGTTAACTTCCCTGAGGGGACACAGTTTCTAAGCTTCATGGCAAAACCTTTGTTAGTGTGAGGATGAAATAGAAGCACGAGCAAAAAGATTAAGGCTAAGGGAGTCTGTGAAGAGGTGTCTTAGACCGTGTTCGTAAAATGAGCCATACTCTCCCTACAGCTGGTGGTGGGAGACCTTGGCCCAGGTGGGCAGCAGCCCCGCCTGAAGGTGCTCAAAGGACCAACAATGCTGACAGAAAGCCCCCTGCCTGCCCTGCCAGCCTCTGCTGCCACCTTCCTCATGGAGCAGCATGAGCCCAGGACACCAGCTCTAGCACTCGCTTCAGGCCCTTGTGTCTATGTGTATAAGAACCTTAGACCCTACTTCAAGTTCAGCCTGCCCCAGCTGCCTCCAAACCCTCTGGAACAAGACCTTTGGAACCAAGCCAAAGAGGTAAGTGACCTAGGGAACAGAAGGCAGAGATAGTAACCGTTGGATGAGGAGGACCAGGCTCCCAGCAAGGAGAGTGGGCATGCAGGTGGGAGGTGGGTCGTAGCCCATCTCTGTAGCAGTAGTTCTGGTCATGGGTGGGGTGCTGTGCTCAGCCCTGAACAGCAGCTTCCAGGGAGGCACTGGGCCAGGACCTGTGGGGAAGAGAGCAGAGCCCATGTCCAAGGGACTAGCTATGTCCCTTCTTACCTGTGAGGGATGGGAAACCAAAGAAGGTAAAGATTTCACAAGAGCAATTGAGGACAACACTGGAGAGCAGAGGAGACTGGGTAGGGGGTGGGAGTGTAACAGTAAAGAGGATGATGGACATAAACATGACTCTGCAACTGGACTCAAATCAACACCTTAGCCTTGAGGTTCGGTGTCAAGGCAGGTTGGGAAGAAAGTGGAGAGGAAGAGCGATACTGCTCTTCCAGTGTGAAGATGTGCCCCCTGAGGGCGTGGCCACTGGCACTCATAGGCTTTCCCTTCTCCCTGTGCTGTCACAGGACCAGATCGACCCCTTAACCTTGAAGGAGATGTTGGAGGGCATCCGGTGAGAGCCACCTCCCCACTCCCTCCCTACTCCTTCATCCCAAAGGTCTCCTGACCCCTCACTAAACCTACGATGCTGGCCTCTCCCCTTGCAGGGAGAAGGCAGAGGTACCTTTGTCTGTACAGTCACTCAGGTAGGATTCCCGTGGAGGTGGGTAGAATTGGATGGTTATGGTCTGGCCCTGAGGGCAGCCAGGCCGTGGTGTGTAGGTACCAGTGTTCTGTGTTTGCAGATTTCTGCAGCTGGAGCTAAGTGAAATGGAGGCATTTGTAAACCAACACAAATCCAGGGCCATCAAGCGTCAGGTAATGGCATCTTATCTCTTTATCTTCTTATTTCCCTATAAAATATTTTTCTGTGTGTGTGTGTGTGTCTGTCTGTCTGTCTGTCTGTCTGTCTGTCTGTCCCTCTTATCTCTTTATCTTCTTATTTCCCTATAAAATATTTTTCTCTGTGTGTGTGTGTGTGTGTGTGTCTGTCTGTCTGTCTGTCTGTCTAGGGCCAGAGGATACCTCATTCACAGGATTCACCTCCTTTGGGACAGGGTCTCATTGACCTGGAACTCATCAACCAGGCTAAACTGTCTGGCTGCTGAGCTCTAGGTGTGCCCCTGTCTTTGCCTTCTCAGCACTGGGATTACAAGCATGCAGCACCACACCTAGTTTTGTTTGTTTGTTTTGTTTGGGTTTTGTATTTTTATTTTTCTGAGACAGGGTCTCCCTATAGTCCCAGCTGACCTGGAATTTGCTATGTAAACCAGGCTGGCCTCAATTTCACAGAGATCTGCCTGCCTCTGACTCCTGAGTGCTGGGATTAAAGGCATGTACCACCATGCCCAGCTTTTTTTGTGTGTATGTCTGAATGTGTGTCACATGTATGCAGGTGCCCATGGAGGCCAGAAGAGGACCTAAGATCTCCCAGAACTGGAGTTACAGGCAGTTGTGAGCCACCTGAACAGGTGGAAGCAGTCTTAATTATTGAACTATCTCTATAGCCCCAGTATGTGTGGTGTTTTTATGTGAGTTCTGAGACTCAAACTCAGGTCCTCAAGCTTGCAAGGACTTTACCGACTGAGTTATCACCCCAACCCCAAAATGTTCACATTTTAAAAAAGAGCATGTGGGGACTGGAGAGATGGCTTCAGTGGTTAAAAGCACTGGCTGCTCTTACAGAGAACCCAAGTTCGAGTCTCCAGTTCCAGGGGATCCAATGCCCTCTTCTGACCTCCACAGACATTGCACAGCATGGGTGCACTCACATACATGTAGGAAATACATTCATACACATAAAATAATTTTTTTTTAAATATATTTTATATATTTTTATTTTATGTGTATGAGTGTATTGCCTGCATGTATGTGAGTGCACCCATGTCATGCAATGCCATGGAGGTCAGAAGAGGGCTCTGATTCCCTTGGAACTGGAGTTAAAGATGGTTTGTAGCCGCCATGTGGGTGCTGGGAATCAGACCTGGGTCCTCTGCAAGAGCAGTCAGTGCTCTTAACTGCTGAGCCATCTCTCCAGCCCCAAAAGAAATAATACTTTTTTTTTTTTGGTCTTTTTGAGACAGGGTCTCCCTGTAGCCCCAGCTGTCCTGGAACTCACTATGTAGACCAGGCTGGCCTTGAACTCACAGAGATCCACCAGCCTCTGCCTTCCAAGTGCTGGGATAAAGGTGTGCGCCACCACACCCGGCGAAATAATACATTTTTTTAAAGAAGAAGTATAGGATGAAATATACATGGCTAATCCCACTACTGAGAGATGTTCCTCTTACCATTTCCATACATTTCCTTCACAGTGTGCTTTTTATCCTGTTTGTCTTGAGTATATAACATATTTTGAGAGCATCATATTTTTAACCTTAAATAACCATTAAGGTTTTTTTGGTAGTGGCTCATTGATTATTCTATTGGTTATTTGTGATTTCCTTTGTTTACTTGTGTGTGTGTGTATCAGCATCTCATTAGCTGAGACTGGCCTAGAACTCCTGATCCTCTTGCCTCTGCCTCCCTAGTGCTGGGATTACAGGCCTGGTCCTCCATACTCAGTGGTCAGTTTCACCATTTGTATGAACATTCATGTCTAGGTCATTGGTCAGGAAGTGTTTGCTTTTTCTTCTCTGTGTTCATCTCAGTTATTATTTCTCTGGCTTACAGGTGAACCCATGCACTGAGCTCTGCTAATCCGAATTTTTTATTTATCTAAAGAAAAGCATTTTGGCTCTGCTAACCTCCATAGGGAAATTCTTCAAAAACATCTCTTTTTTTATTTGATGTCCAAATGAACATGTATCACCTATAGAAATTCTAGAAAAACACCAGAGATAACCAGTTGTTTGTATTTGAGGGCTTGGCTTCTAGCATGTTTGTTCATGTTTTTTTTAAGATTTTTTAAAATTTATGTATATGTGTTTGTGTTCACACATGCGGGTGCCCATGGAGGCCAGTAGAGGGTATCAGATCACCTGGAACTACAGGCAGTTGTGAGTCACCTGATGTGGGTGCTGGGAACAAAGCTCAGGTCCTCTGCAAGAACAGCTAGTACTCGTTTAACCCCTGGGCCATCTCTCCAGCTCCTTTGTTTGTTTTTGTTTGTTTAGACAGGATGCTCAAACTAGATATGTAAACCAGACTGTCCTTAAGTGTAGAACAAGCCTCCTGCCTCTGGGATTATAGGTACCAACCACCACACCCAGTTTTAAAATGTGGTTGCCCTCCCAAGACCACATTGTTTTTGTGTGCTAATTTTTTTTAATGATTTTATTTATTATTTTCATTTTATGTGTATGAGTGTACTGCCTGCATGTATGTGAGTACACTGTGTTGTGCACTGCCGCAGAGGTCAGAAGAGGGCTTCGGATTCCCCTGGAACTGGAGTTAAGGACGGTTCATAGCCACCATGTGGGTGCTGGGAATTGAACCCAAGTCCTCTGTAAGAGCAGTCGGTGCTCTTAACAGCTGAGCCATCTCTTAACCCTGGTTTCCTTCTTTTTAAAGCATGGATATGGATCAGTAAGATGGCTCAGTGGGTAAAGGTACTCACTACTAAATCTGACCTCTTCAGTTTGAATCCTGGGACTCAGAAGTGGAAGGAAAGACTTGACTCCAGTAAGTGGTCTTCTGACCCCCCCATACATGCACTATAGCAAACACACACACGAATAAATGTAATAAAAAAACCTTGAGTTCTATTGGTGTATAAATCACATTTTCTTTACTCATCAATGGATACTGAGAGTGACTCCATATGTTGTTAATTTTTTACTGAGTCAAGAATTTCATACAGTGTGATTTGATCCCTTCCCCTCCTTTGCCACATTGTGTTTGATCATATAAAAACCTCATAAGTGGGTCTCCATAGTGAATCCAAGTCAGCTAGGGCTACAGGGAGACTCTGTCTTTAAAAAGAATTTAAGTTCATCACAGAAATGTCTTTGCACATAAATATTTTGTCACATCTCTGATGCTTGCTCCGCTTTCGCCCTCTTCCTTCCCTCCTCTGGCACCTGGGGGTATCTGGGAGCATGGTGGGGGCTCTGGGGTGACCTGTTGAGTCCTTCTGCAGACAGTCATCACCACCATGACCACCTTGAAGAAAAACCTGGCTGATGAGGATGCTGTGTCCTGTCTGGTGCTGGGCACTGAGAACAAGGAGCTCCTGGTACTTGATCCTGAGGCCTTCACCATTTTAGCCAAGGTCAGTATCAGGTCTGTTCCCAGGTACATCTGAGTCCTGGCCACATTCTCTTCTTGATCTCCCAGTTCTGGGTAGCATACATTCACTGAAGAAAAATTAGAAATTAGAAATGACCATAAAGAAAAAAAATAGATCTCCCCCAAACTCACCACTGCTGTTATGTGTGGGGGTTTTGTTTGTTTGTTTGTTTTGAGGCAGGACCTTCCTTATAGCCCCAGCTAGCCTGAAACTTACTACATAGACTAGACTGACCTCTCTCAGAGATCCACCTGCCTCTGCCTCCCATGTGCTGGGATTAAAGGCATGTGTTACCATGCCTAACTACTATTAAAGTTTTATTTAGCATGTATCCTTCTTGTATATGAGCATTAGGTGGGCATCTTGTTTCATTACTTTGCTGTGATAAAATACCCATCCAAGAACAATTTAGAGAAGAAAGGGTTTATTTGGCTCATAATTCCAGATCACAGGTTGCCATTTCAGAGAAGTCACAATAGAACTCAAGCAGTTAGTTACCTCATCCATAGGCAAGAGCGGAGACGCAAGCGCACCAGCTTGCTTGTGCTTGTCTCATACTCCGCTGGCTTTCTTCATTCATACAGCTGAGTGCCCAAGCCGGGAAACGCTGGCACCCACATCCAGGGTGGGTCTTTCCATCTCAGTTAACTATACAGTCCCCACATGTAAGCCTAGAGGGTGCCCTAATCTTAACAGTGCCTCGGTTGAAACTCTGCCCAGGTGATTTTAAGTTGTGTTGACAGTTAAAACTAACGAGCACAGCAGCCTTATAGAAGCAGGCTGATGATACAGAATCCTAAAATTTGCTCTTTTGCATCACTGTATGTAGCATAAGTATCTTCCTGTGTCTATAAAACCACATATTCTTTGTTTTCTTTGTATTATTTGGGTTTGTTTTTTTTTTCTTTTTCCTCTTTGACTCAGGCTGGACGCCACCATGCCCAACTTCACATCAGCTTTTGAAAGGCCCCACATCCCCATCATATAGATGTACCATACATAGATGTAGTGACCTTGCCCCAGTTAAACTGTTCTCAGTCCTTCACTACTGCTGACTCCACTGCAGTGCTCCTCCTTGTCCACACAGCTTTTCAAGCCTGTTTAAACACTTCTGAATCTGTCCTGGAGGCAGCAGTGCTTAGCCAAATGGTATAAGAAGCTTTGTAGGAATTGAAGCTATGCCTGATAGGAAGTGAGTGAATAGGATTTTAGTCAAACTTACCCCAGTTCTTTCCAGCTGAGACCAGTGTTTGAGCCTCTTCTTTGCAGATGAGCCTTCCCAGTGTCCCCGTCTTCCTGGAGGTTTCCGGTCAGTTTGATGTGGAGTTCCGGCTTACAGCTGCCTGCCGAAATGGGAATATCTATATCCTGAGAAGGTAGCCTTGGCTGTAGGTTTGAAGAAGCACCTCGGAGACCTGATGGTTTCAGAGGCTTGCAAAATGAACAGGGGGCCTTGGGACTGGAATTGGGGGATGAAAAGATAAGAGAATTTTGTAAAGGAGAACTGAGCTGGTGAGCACAGAGGGGTGTCTAGAGGCTTGTGAGGACGGGGCTGGCAAAGGGAGGTCCTGAGAGGATGGCTGTAATACAGTGATACAGTCAGGATGGAAGAGATAGAAGCAAGCTTTTGTATTTGTTACAGTGCTTTATGGTGTATGTGGCACTTGGGTTATTAGCTTGATATTCCACACAGTTTTGTGGGTTTTTTTTTTTTTTGTCTTTTTGAGACAGGGTCTCCCTGTAGCCCCAGCTGTCCTGGAACTCACTATGTAGACCAGGCTGGCCTTGAACTCACAGACATCTGCCTGTCTCTGCCTCTGCCTCCCGAGTGCTGGGATTAAAGGCGTGCGCCACCATGCCCGGCTCCATACAGTTTTTATTTCAACAAATTTATTCACTGCTGTGCATTAAGCACTGTGCAAGGTGTTAGTGGTATACCAATGAGCAAAATGCTGTCAGTACAGCCCCCGCCTGCATTGGGAAGACAGACATTAAAGGATTGCAAATTAGATGTGTGCTTTGGCAGGAAACATGGAGAATCCCTAGGAAAAGAAATGTCATAAGCATGATCAGGAACTGAACTGTGTGCTGACTTGAAGGAGGCATGCTCCTGTAGTCCCTGCACTTGGGACACTAAGAAAAGAGGATTCCTTGAGTCCAGGAATTCAATACCAACCTGGGCTAGAGCAAGACCCCAGAAGCCAGTGAAGACCTCACCCTCATTAGATAGCCTAAAAGCATTGGCCTGAAGAAAAGTGGGTCATAGGCTGAAAGGCACAAATTACTCCCACTTTCTGGAAAAGGAGAACTAAGATGGAGAGGCCAGAAAATTGAAACCAGCATTAACAGTGTAAACTCCTTCATCCTTTTCTGATAAGACTAGTTAACTGCCCAAGTCTGATGGCACTGACTAGACCAGTTTCAGCTAAGCTTGTTGACAACTGCAAAATCCCAGACTTTCCTACATGTCCCCATAGTGAACACAGGAGGGGACAGAGTAGGAAAACATACTTGATGTTATCCAAGGTCACATATCTTTTATGTGATAGATGCAGAAACAATCCCAGTATCATCTACTCATGGCCAGGATACTTCAGTGTTAGTCTGTGGGGTTTAGGAGGAGCGGGGAGAGGCAGGAAGTGGAGGCAAAGTTTCTCTGGGGTAGAGCTAGTATGCCTTTATTCCACAGAGACTCCAAGCACCCCAAGTACTGCATTGAGCTGAGTGCCCAGCCTGTGGGGCTTGTCCGGGTACACAAGATCCTGGTGGTGGGCAGCAACCAAGACAGCCTGCATGGTTTCACCCACAAAGTATGGCCTTTGGCAAGCCCGTGTCCCTCCATGATGTCTGCCCCATACCCCTGGCAGGAGAGCCCTTCCAGCTTTCCCTTCCCTTCCACTCCAGCTGCCCCTCTACACTCAATGCCCTGAGCCCCCTGCAGACACTAGTGGTTCCTTGCCAGGGTAAGAAACTGTGGACAGTGCAGATGCCCGCGGCCATCCTGACCATGAACCTCTTGGAGCAGCGCTCCCGGGGCCTGCAAGCTGTCATGGCTGCACTGGCCAATGGAGAGGTCCACATTTACCGTGACAAGACCCTGCTCAATGTCATCCACACCCCGGTGAGCCTACCTCCATCACTGCCACTGGCTTTTCCTTACCCAAGCTGTTTCTTTTTTATAATTTTTATTTAGTCTCCCAACAATTTCATACCTGTATATAATGTATTTTGTTCATGTTCACCTCCATTCCCTTCTCTCATCCCTCCACTTCCTCTGAACTCTCTTCCCTATAGGACCCTCCATCTTTCATGGCTTTTTTTCAGATCCACTGAATTAGAGCTGCTTGCATGTGTGCAGGTGTGGGGCTATTTACTGGATCACAGGAAACATTCTAGGGGCTGCACCCCCGAACAAAAATGATTCCCCTTTTTCTAGCGACCATTAGCTGACAATAGCTTCCCAGCTAGGGGTGGGGCATCGTGAGCCCCTCCCCATCCGGCCGGCCCTGCTGCTTCACTGCCCCTCCTCACCCCATAGAGATGCAGCTCAGAAACTGGTTGAGCCCCTCGTGTACAGTTGCCACACGGGAGGGTAAAAATGACTGAGGCTGCGTTTTCAAAGACCTTACAGTCCAAGATGACAGCCAGCCAGACGAAGCAGATTAACACACAGAGCAGAGCACAGTACTGGAAAGCAGAGGGGTGAGTGACTGGGGGCAGATCAGTGCCAAGTGGATGAATGGCAGGGGAGCATTCTAGACAGGGAGCAGCCTGAACAGAGGTTAGGGCAATGAAAGTTGTGGGGTTTTGGGTCTTTTTGAGACAGTTCTCCCTGTAGTCCCAGCTGGCCTGGAAATGTAGAGCAGGTTGGCCGTGATCTCACGGAGTTCCGCCTGCCTCGGCCTTCCAAGTGCTGGGATTAAAGGCATGTGCTACCCACTCCATTAAACCATTGGAGGTTTATGTTTTTGAAAGGCATCAGAGGCAACAAAGGACACATTGGGGACCACTGGGGACAAAGACTAGGTAGACTGGAGACTGATTGGCTCCCTCCCCCTAAAAAGAAGGCCAGGGATGTTTGGTGTGGAGCTTTGGCAGTGAGGTCAGAAAAGAGATGGAAATAAACTAGAAGTGTTTCTGAGGCAGCATCAGCTTGGCCTCTCCTCACACCTCACCACCATAGCTTCGGCAGGGGTCTCCCTTCTTCCCCTTCTTGCTTTCTTTTTTCAAAATATTTTCTCAACCAAAGTCTGGTGTCTCGATGTAGGACGCAGTGACCAGCCTTTGCTTTGGCCGCTATGGGCGGGAGGACAACACACTCATCATGACTACTCGAGGTGAGGACTCAGATCTGGAAGGGGTGTTGGAGGTGGAGTGAAGAGGACGGGACTCTTGGGGGTAAAGGAGGAGCCAAGGATGGACCAGGTGTGAACCACGTGTTGACCCAGGCTTGCAGACATATTCTTTGTCAGATTGGAGGAGCTCATCAGCAGTTTGGTTTCCCTGCCTATCTCTCCAGTTTACCCAGCAACCTCAGCACCCACCACATTGACAGGGACACCCCAGTACTCCATAAATAGCTACTAAATGAATAGAGATAAGAAACTATCGACAGCTAGATGTGCTGAATGCCTGTAATACCAGCACTTAGGTAGGGGGAGGCAGGAGAATTGGGAGCTAAATAAAGGTCATCCTTTGCTACAAGAGAGTTCAGGGACACCCTGAGCTACATGAGCCCCTGACTCAGAAAAGAAACACAGAAAAGAAACTTGAGACATTTTGTTCCTTCCAGAGTCTTGTCAGGTAGACAGTGAGGCTTTGGGGGAAGAGCAGGAATGTGGGTTAGATCTGGAGGAGCTGGATCTGCTTTCAAATCCATCCATTTCCCAGGTGGTGGCCTGATCATCAAGATCTTGAAGCGTACAGCAGTGTTTGTGGAAGGGACAGGTGAAGTGGGTCCTCCACTGGCCCAGGCCACAAAACTCAGTGTGCCCCGAAAGACACGCCTCTATGTAGATCAGACCCTTCGAGAGCGTGAAGCCGGCATAGGTAAGATTCCGAATCCCAAGGCATAAGAACACAGGAAAGAACCAAGTGCCTTGAGCAGTGGGAAACGCCTTGGCCAACTAGGAAAGTCTTGTGCCGCTAGACATACAGGGATAGCCGCAGATAATACATCTACAAATAACTAGTTGGGTACTGCTGGTGAGGGCTAGAGCTTTGGCATTCAGAGCCCACGGTCATGTCCAAATGCAGGAATTCTCTAGAGAAAAGTAGAAATTCACCAGATTCTCCATTTTTCCTGCTCATTTATTCCTTACCTGATGGCATGCGGTCTCTTGCCAGGGGCCTTGAATTAGGCCAGTCCCTGCATAAGAGTGCAGTCCATCTTGCTGGCTCCACAGCGTGTGCTGGGGGTTTCTGCCAGGGCTGCTGGAACACACAGATGTAAATGAAGCAATGCGGATGTCAGAAGAGTGAGTAAGGAGCTAAGCTCTGTACGTGACCAGATGTAAAAGGTTAAAAGCCTTTGAGCTCTTTAGTATATACTAATAATATCCAGTTGGTGACTATAATGGAAAAAGGTTCCATTCACAATAGCAAAGAAACTCCTGGGAATAAATGTAATAAGAAAATGTTCAAAGTCTAATAAAGAAAATTATAAAACTATGTTCATGCTGGATATGGTGGTACACACCTGTAATCCCAGCACTTGGGAGGGGGAGTGTCGGATAGTGAGTTAAAGTCAACCTTGGCCACATAGTGAGACCCTGTCCGAAACAAAACAAAAACAAAAACAGCCACCAAGATAGTGAGTCTGCAGAGAAAGAGTGATGGTGAGCATAGGGGTGGGGGGTCCTCTGGAGGTGGACATAGGGGTGGGGGTGCTCTGGAGGTGGGCATAGGGGTCAGGGTGCTCTGGAGGTGGATTTGAAGAAAGGTCATCTGTACTGGGCAAATGACAGAGGAATGAACCAAGAGGACGCAGGGATAGGGATACAGTGGCTGAGGCAGGATAGTGAGGCTGGATTCTATTGAGTTTGGTATGGACCAAACTGGAGATGACCATGAGACAGAAGTTGAGGCAGGCCTGGGCACCCACACAACAGTGACTGCCATCTGGAGCTCAGCACAGGAGCTGGCAGCCGTTGCTCTTGGAGGTGGCTAGAGTCAGTGTGGGCTCTGTATTATCCCGAGAGCAGGGTGGAGAATGAGAAAGACCAAAACCAAGACGTCAGAGCACCAGCCTTGAGGGCCAAATAGAAGGAACCTGGGGTAGAGATAGATTGTGTGAGCAGCCAGGTGGTGGGAGAACCAGGAAGGATGAAGTAGGGCGTGGTCTGCAGCATCCTGCTGCTTACTATCCCTACATTCCTGGCCTCTGTAGGCCTCCTAACTACCACACCTTCCTCTCCCATTCTTCCTGTAGTAGCCTGAGCAGGAGTGCCCTCCCTTCCCTGCTTTTTCACCCTTCGTGTCCCCCTCTGCAGCCATGCACCGGACCTTCCAGACAGACCTCTACCTGCTGCGCCTGCGGGCTTCCCGGGCCTACGTTCAGGCCCTCGAGTCCAGCCTGAGCCCCATGTCAACCACAACTCGGGAGCCACTCAAATTGCATGCTGTGGTAAGCCCTGGGATGTCAGAGGGCAGCACTAGGTGGGAACCCCTCTGCCATACAGATAAGCCCCCAGAGCCAGTGCCAAATCACCTAACCCTGTGTGCCCTTCTCACCCCTCCACAAACCCAGGGACCGAGTCCTCTGTTCTGGGAGTGTGGGGGTGAGGTGGGGAGAGCTGCTCTCATCTGCTCAGCAGAGATACTGTTCAGCTCCCATGGTCCATGCTGTACCTCAGACAAGTCCCCAGACTTGGAGTAAGGGGCAGCATGGTCACCCTGGGACATTTATTCCCAGGAATCTGGAGGTATCCTCCTGGCTGTGGTTTAGGGAAGAAAGTTATTCGTTTTCATTGTCATGAGTAGCCCAAGGTGTTAGAACTGCGTGGTACAGAGAAGAGCCACCCTGACATGACCCTAGGTGTCCTGGGCTATGCACAAGCAGGAGGGAAAAGGAGCCACACAGGGGTGACCCTCAAGGTCCACTGGGCTCCAACCAGCTGCTGAGAAGGCCCAAGTACGTCACCAGTGCCACCAAGGTTTAAATAGTTTTTTTTTTTTTTTTTTTTGGTCTTTTTGAGACAGGGTCTCCCTGTAGCCCCAGCTGTCTTGGAACTCACTATGTAGACCAGGCTGGCCTTGAACTCAGAGATCCGCCTGCCTCTGCCTCCTGAGTGCTGAGATAAAGGTGTGTGCTACCATGCCTGGCTCAAATACTCTTTAAAAACATTTTTTTTTTTCATGTGTTTGAGTATATTGCCTGCTGGTAAGTAGGTGCTCCCATGTTGTGCAATATCCAAGGAGGTCAGAAGAAGGCATCGTATCTCCTGCAACTGGAGTTACAGCCGGATGGTTGTTAGCGGCCATGTGGGTGCTGCGAACTGAACCCAGGTCCTTTGCAAGAGCAGCTGGTGCTCCTAACTGCTATGTCATCTCTCTAGCCCCCAGATACTCTTTTTCTAAAGAATAGGCTAGATACAGAAGAAGGCTTACAGAGCTACTTAGGATTTGAGGGAGAGAATTAAACCATTGAGCCTTAGGATTAGGGTGGAAGGTGAAATAGGCCATGGGGGCAGTGGTGAGCATGGGTGCAGCCCCAAGCCACCTCTGCTTCCAACTCACTGAGTGGCCTCCATCAAGGCCCTTGCCCTCTCTGGGCCTTTGCCATGCTGTATACCCTCTGGGCTTCTGTGCACTTTGAGAATTGGGTGGACAGAGTTGGAGGAGGATGTCTTGAGGGCATTGATGGGGAAGCAGGCAGGATGTCTTGAGGGCATTGATGGGGAAGCAGGCAGGCAAGGCTAGAACGGGTGGTATTCAGTGCCCAAGGCCAATGTGTCCTAAGTGCCTCTTCATTCACTCCCTCCACAGGTTCAGGGCCTGGGCCCCACCTTTAAGCTTACACTTCATCTGCAGAATACCTCAACAGCCAGGCCGGTGCTGGGGCTGCAGGTCTGCTTCCTGTACAACGAAGCACTCTATGCCCTGCCCCGGGCCTTCTTTAAGGTACTGGATCCCCTCGCTGAGACATGGGCTCCCACAGGCTGGGCCTGATGAGATGCCCCCAAGCTACTGTCAGGTTGAGGTGAGGGAGTGGGCACTGCCTATCAGGTGGCCAGCGGGCCAACTTCAGCCAGACCAGCTCAGACCCTGCTTCCACTGCCTTTCTCCTAGGCTGAGAGACCCCAAGGAGCCACACAGAAGGAGCTGGAAGTGCTGTTAAAGGACAGGGGGCTCCAGGACCTGCTGCTTCCTAACTGCTCCTGCTAGAGAAAGGGAGCCACTCTGCTCCAGGCCATCACAACAAAGCAAGGACTGCATCTCCCAGGGCCCAAGTTTGTCCCTGAATTGAGAGAGGCAGTAGTGAAGGCTCTAGAACAGGGAGGAACTGGCCCTGACCTTCTGAGGTCTAGGTTTAACCACCAACGCTTGTGGACCTCAGGCATCCACTTACCCTCCCCACACTTTGTACCCTGCATCCAGACAGTCACCCTGCCCAGACTGAAGGGTCCTGAGTGTGGGTGGGATGACAGGCACAAGCTCACTGTCTTAGTTCGTTTCTTCATTGCTGTGACAAAATACTCTGACCAATACCAACTTGGGGAGGAAAGGGTTTATTTGTCTTACATCTCTCAGGTCTCAGTTCATCAGGGAGCCCAAGGTAGGAACTCAGGGCAGGAACCTGGAGGCAGGAGCTGGAGCACAGGCCATGGAGGAACGCTGCTTACTGACTTGCTCCCCTGGCCCCTGCTCAGCCTGCTTTCTTATGCAACACGGGCCCACCTGCCCAGGGATGGCACCACCCACAGTGGGCTGGGCCCTCCCATATCACTCATCAAGCAGGTGCCCCATGGACATGGTTACAGGCCAGTCCAATGAAGGCAATTCCCCAATTGAGGCTCCCTCAACCCAGGTGTGTCAAGTTGACACTAAAGCTATCCAGCACAACTGACACCTTGTCATCTTGGCAAACAAACACATCACTATTAAACCATAACCTTTCCAATTCTTGTCCCCAAGATATGATGTTAACATTAATATCACAACATAAGACAGTACAACCTTAAAAACCCCACAGTCCTTAAAAAATCCAAACACTTAAAAGTCCATAGTCTCTTAACTGTGGGTGGACTTCTGTAAAATCCAAAACAAGTACTGTCTTATTTCAAAGGGAAGAATCAGGCACACCTAAGCAAAACCAAAGTCCAGCAAAGTAGCTCAAGGCTGGACATCTGGGATTCACTCACGATCTTCTGAGCTCCAAAGGGTACCGGCAGCTCCACTTCTGACTCTGCCGTCCACAGCACACTCAGCTCATCTTGCAGACCCAGGCCA